GATTCTTTGCCTTTGGCACATTTTCTGTGACGAGACTTCAAACCATTCCCACCATCTTTATTAACCAACACGGTGAAGTGATTCTTCGGAAGGTGATGGGATAGGAAGAGTTTTCAGAAAATGAGGACTTTTGTCTTTATTGGAGAGGTCAGTGCAGACAGGACGGATGGGGGGAAGGCGAGGGGGGAATGACACACAGGAAACGGTGTTGGTCAGACCCAAAGACAGGCGTGGGCAGTGAGGACTCCCACCTTCAGCGGCTCTGTCTAATCAGTCTGACAGTGAGTCTGAAGACAGAGCAACCCAACAACACACGTTACTATGTTACCGCTAAGCAGGACATTAAATCAAATTAATGAGACACCAAAACAAGAGCTGGAGCCCAAGACAGCCATGAAGTCACAGTGTACACAAATACACAAGAAACACAGAAACCAGCTGGATGGATGTGGCTCGGGAACCTTCTGTTACCTCGAATGTTTTGAACGCTGGCTGCTCCAGTCTGCTTGTATTTGTCCAAGATTTCCCCTCATATCTTGGTTATGTTTATTTTTTCTTTTATTAAACTGATCACTCATGAATGTGCTCTAACCATCACATAACCATCTACACAGTGTGTATTGTCTGGGAGTGAGAACACTACACAAAGGGTTGATCTCGATCGTACTTTCCTCTGTTTCTGAAACCTTTTGCGCTTCAAAGCAGAAGAAATGTTGGTGTGAACCCTGCTTTCACTTCACAGCACTCGCTGGTTACATTTTTGGGTGCTATTGTGTGAAAATCTGAAATATGACGATTCACATCTCTGCAGCTACGTATCTCAAACAAGATTTACATTTAGACGCAGGTTTTTCCCCCTCATGCAAGCGGAGTTATCGCTTCTATGATTTCAGTTATTTTTAGTACAGAGAAAAACTCTGCTGTCCTTTGTACGTGGGAGTTTTTTTTTAAGCTATGGAACCTTTTAAAATTAAATGAGTTTTAAATAATGTGATTATAATGAGGAGGCAATCGCTAATCTGCATATCTGTCTATTTTACTTCCTCACCCGTTGTGTTTGCTCATTGCTGTTACATGCCGTTAAATTTCAGTCTTAAAGGAGCCTGTAATTCGGCGATTGTCTATTATTTGTGCAAAACGAGCTTCTTTCTTCAAAGTGAAGAGCTTAAGCCTCGTTGTCGGCACGGGCAACACACAGTTGCACATCCTGTGTTTGTTTTCACACCCTTTCAGCACGAACTGCTTCTGTTCCTCACTGACCTTTGTTAAACATAATGCCCGCTGTGCCTGAGATCAGCTGGGGTTTAATCACTGGGCGCAATTTTTTTTTATTGAACATCATCATCCGTTTAAATACATGCAGTCTTTTTTTTCTTTTTTAAAATAAAACCGGCAGACAGGAAAACGCCTAAGACACATAAGAAGAACAGAGCGCGGCAGAAAGCAGTGATGGGCCCCTAAGACCATCAGCATGGTCTAACCACAGTTTCCACACTCAGACACTGAATCAAAAAGATGCGCACACCACACACATCCACCCACCATTGTCTGCAGTCAGCAGTCTGCAGAGAATTCAATTAATTTGATCAAAGTCACTGCAGCTTCTCTTGTGTTCTTTCATTTGTTAGACTTCATAGTGTTTGCATGGGCTGCTGAGGTCAGCTGCACATGCATCATCATGTGGATGCAAAGTGCTTCTTTTTGTCTGCATGTGTCCTAAAAACAACATGCGACCTATATATGGCAACAAGAAACCTCAGTGCTCGATATCCTCTTTCGGCTAGTCACGTCACCCTTGAGACATTATTTATGTTTCCTTATGTTTACCTAGTTATGTTCATGTCATTTATTATTATTATTTTCTTTCTTTCTGTGGAATTTGGTCACAGTTCTTGAGCTGCTTTCCAGACTAAAGTGAAGTGTTGTAATTGGTATGTTTAACTAAATGACTCATATTCTGATAACACAACATGCATCATTTATTTGCCTGCTTCTAAGAAGCCGGCAAATGCAAATGTGATTTTTTAAAG